TGTGTGTGTGTGTGTGGATTCGGACGAGTTGGTCGGACTGGCAGCTGCCTTAGCCAGCCGCCCACCGTGAAAGGATTTTGTCAAGTTGCTCTTTTCAGCCGGTTCCTAGTCCCGGCTTCCTTAGACTTTTAACCTCAGCCTGGAAGAATTTTGTTTCGTGTGTGTGTGTGTGTGTGTGTGTGTGTGTGTGTGTGGGAGAGAGAGAGTGGGACAGACACAGGTAGAATGACAATAAACATGAAGCATATTATCGTGATCATATTATCATAATGGTCTCGGTACCTTCTAAGATTTACTTAACTAGTTGAGAAACTCAAAACACGGAAGTGAGGGTTATCTTGAGATGATTTCGGGGCTTTAGTGTCCCCGCGGCCCGGTCCTCGACCAGGCCTCCACCCCCAGGAAGCAGCCCGTGACAGCTGACCAACACCCAGGTACCTATTTTACTGCTAGATAACAGGGGCATAGGGTGAAAGAAACTGTGCTTATTGTTTCTCGCCGGCGCCCGGGATCGAACCCGGGACTACAGGATCACAAGTCCAGCCTGCTGTCCGCTCGGCCGACCGGCTCCCCAAATATCCAAATATTTGGATATTTGGACCAAATATAATAGGGTGACAATAGGAGGCACTTTTATATATTAAATACAACTAATTTGGTATGCAATGTCAACGACTTCGCTGTAACTCAACACCTACATAAAAATAAATCAGGAATTCCAAATGTCATTAATATATTTTTTTTTCATTCATTTTGTGTGTTTGAAGGAAGTCACATTTTGGGATCGCAGAGGCTGTCAGACTTTTTAGAAAAAATAAAGAGGAAATAGGGAGTATACCTGGAGTTTACCTCGAGTATACCTGAAGCAGGGTCTGGGAGCCAGTATACAACAAGCATCTACGAACCTGTACATCATTTCTCAATCTCTGGCGGCTTTGTTTACATTCACTAAACAGTTTAAAGGCATCGAAACTTCCCATTATCAAATATTATAAATGTTATAAACAGCCTCCTGGTGCTTCGGAGCTCATTAACTGTTTAATAATTGTAAACAAAGCCGCCAAAAATTGAGAAAAGATGTACAGGTTCGTAAGTGCTTGCGTAAGTGGTTTCATGAATCCGACCCCTGGTCTTCGGTCCAAACCCGTTCTCATCAAGGTGATGAAAACTGAGGAAGGGGTAACTATGAAAAATCTCCTTTTCTTTAGGCTAGGTTATGTAAGGATGAGTTAGGTTAAGTTAGCACGGGAATGGTTAGGTTAAGTTAGGATGGGTAACGTTAGGTTAAGTTAGGATGGATTAGGTTAGGTTTAAGCTAGGATGAGTTGAATTAAGGTTAAGTTAGAACGGATTAGCTTATGTTAAGCCAGGTTGGGTTAAGTTAGGGTTCTTTATAGAGTAGCGACGACGTTTTGGCTACCTACTTTTACTCAGGCCTCGGACGCTTCTCCCGCATCGGGCTCTTGGACCGTTTTGGACGGTTCCCATCTATCTAGACACAACACACACACTCGACTGCCAGAATGCACACCCATCATTGCCCTTCCAGTCCTTTCACCACGTTTATCACCTCTCTGACTTCTTCCCCTCCACTTCCCGCCACGCACCAGAAGCAGTCATCAAGGAACACCATAAAAAAGCGAACCCAGTTTATCTCACTGAAAACGCTGAATAAAAACAGGAAGGTGGACAGGAAGAGGGAGGCAGCAACACCAACAGTACCAACACAACAATAACAACAACTACATCAACAACATCACCTACACGACAACAACAACAACATCACCTACAATAACAACAACAACAACTATAAACGGTACAGGTTTACTTCTTCCATTCTCACAACATACAAATACAAGAGACAGTTACAGTCTGTAAGAGAATGTAAACTCCTCTGGGATACAACTCAATGCACTCAAATGATCCCATAATGTAAACTCTACAACATGCCTAATGAGACGTACCTGAGGGAGAGTACTCCTCCTCATAGCTAAAATCAGATGTTATTAACACAGAAAGACTAGGCTATAGGGGAGCCGGTCGGCCGAGCACTAGACTTGTGATCCAGTGGTCCCGGTTTCGATCCCAGGCGCCGGCGAGAAACAATGGGCAGAGTTTCTTTCACCCTATGCCCCTGTTACCTAGCAGTAAAATAGGAACCTGGGTGCTAGTCAGGTGTCACGGGCTGCTTCCTGGGGGTGGAGGCCTGGTCGAGGACCGGGCCGCGGGGACACTAAAGCCCCGAAATCATCTCAAGATAACCTCAAGATATATGATAGCCGTTAATGAAGGCATTGCTATTTTGATTTAATAGTCTTAAGATTCAGTTGTACAAAATAGCTGTCTTTTCCCTTTAGTTTATAATTACTGAAATCTTTGGTTTGTAAACTGGGAATCGGATCCAAAACAGAAAACGGGATGATATGTCAATTTCACGATCCGCTACCATTTTCTTGTGCGACAATTTCTGGCCTTAGGAAGAGTTTACGTCAAAATGCGACATTCTGTTAGGAGAACGGGTTGCTCAACCAACCTGTCCTCTTACAAAGAACGTCTCTTTTCGCTCGTATACGTTACATAAGATAACAAATTGTCGTACTTGAAACAGAAAGTAGTTCCCGGATGTGAAGTACTGTCCCGTTTTCTGTTTTGGGTCCTCTGGTATGTTAGGAGGGGACACTTTAATTTGACCATGTTCTTGACTTTGTGGAACCTTAGGAGGACGGGTTGGCTCAGCCACCACAATGACCGGGTTGAAATTGAAATTGAAATAAGTTTATTGAGGTAAAATACACACAAAGGGATGAGGTAGCTCAAGCTATTCTCACCCCGTTCAGTACATCGTGTTAATACATACATATACACACATCACAAACAATAAACGTATTACCGAACATTCTGAGAGATAAACATATACATTTCCTAATGATCTAATGACTTAATGACCATTTCCTAATTTCCTAATGTCGCATCTGGATTTCGTCTTTGCCGCCAACAAGTTCCAATGTTTCAGAGATTCAAATTATATTTCTTATAATCCCTTATAAAGCTTCGTATTGGGTTTCTTCATTTAACACATTTTATTATTGTTTTTGCAATCACAAAGTGTACTTGAGAATGCATGCAATCTAAATGCGTCTAATGTTTATACTTATTTAGAGAGGAAAGCCTTACCCATGGTGAATGTCGTCCACGCATGCGCAAGGCTGGCGGTTGATTTGGCGGATGTTTCAAATGTACTTTCACCATTAAAACACATTTAAAAAGGTACCTTTCTTGCACAACTAAACAAATACAAGGAAAGGAAGAGAATTATCAGGGGCAAGAGCCAATCCATTACGTGTATGAATCATTTGGAAAGGATCAGGATAAGGATTTGGGATGGGACGGGGGAAAGGAATGGTGCCCAATCATTTCGACGGTCGGGGATTGAACGCAGGCCTGCACGAAGCGAGACCGTCGCTCTACCGTCCAGTTCAAGTAGGTTGGAGAAAGAAGTGAAGGTATAAGGCGGTTTAAAAACGGAAAGAAATAATCAGTAAAATAATTGTATAAGGAGATGGAGGAGAATATTACCAGAGGCGGTAATAAAAGCAAAATACGTGTTAAATAAAGTAATAAAGTCACCAGATCAACAGCATTAAGAATAAAGTGAAAAGCAGAACAGAACGAGACAATTTTGACAAAAAAAAAGAAAAATTACATTTATTTATATTTTAGTGATTACATTTCGTGGAGATTGTAGAATACTATTCGTGTCATTTGATGACGAAACTTCACTTCTCCTCTCCCTTCTCTCTCTCTCTCTCTCTCTCTCTCTCTCTCTCTCTCTCTCTCTCTCTCTCTCTCTCTCTCTCTCTCTCTCTCTCTCTCTCTCTCTCTCTCTCTCTTTTGTCACATCATCAATATTTTGCTTCGTTTCCTTGACCCCCAATTTTCCTCTACCTAATACTTTCTTTCCTTCCTCCCACTAACACAGGTGTGATAAACAAGAGTTTCCTAGTACACGTTCTCTTCCTTACCTCATCATCTCGCTACTGCCAGCGACATCGTAAACTCCTTCCTCGCTCCGTTTTCTTTAGCGAATCCCCTTTCAACTTCTACTTTTTTTTTAGCAAAGTTTTTTTCTGTTCATTATGTTCAGGTAAAGTGCTGGTTGAGTCTTTATACCACAGGTGGTATAAAGAGATGGTACTATCTTTAGCGAGAGTGTCGGTTCATTGCATAACAAATATATATATTCGTTCACTGATTAGCGAAGGCATTCGGTCAGTCTTATGTGGAAGGAATAATATTTAACATCTCCCAAGACTGCCTTGAAGAACACCAAGAGTGGAATTCTAAGACTGGCATCAGGTAGCATTATCAAAGAGTTCATTAACAGGTTCCTACGAGTTCAACCTGATAGGCTATTAGAGAACTCATACCCCGAAGCCTAGCGTCTCCGTCTAATGCATGCATTGGTGATTCGTTCCGGGGATTAATCCCAGTTTTGTATGTAGTGGATGTCCCCTCCCCCATCATCTGACAGTCAGTTGCTATGGAAACCACCTCGTCTCACTCCTCCTTATTCAGCTCGGACTTGGGACACCTCGGCTCAGGGAACTGCGCAGAGATGGTTTGGTGTAAGTTAACCCACCTCGCTAGTCTCACGTCCGGTAAATGGCGTGACAATGACGGAGGTAGCAGCAGCAAGGAGCTCATTCAAGACCCCTCGAGGTATTGCCAGAAAACCGGATTCAAAAAGAGTATATTACGGAGTATTGGACGGAGAGACATTTGCAAACGTCGGTATTAAATACCCAACAAGTGCACAAGCTCATCACACAGCTAATGGAACTTAATAATAGTTTCCACTATTTATCATTAATTCCACCAAGCGATAAGTGAGGTATTATTTACATGTGTTAATGAATAAAGAGAGCGCGTCGCCGGCTTACAAAAACATCAGTAGGCAACTCAAGGGGGTGCAGACGGGTCGGCCCCGAGATGGAGAAAACGTGCGTAGTGGAGCTCAGTGTGTTGTGGACGGTGGGTAGGGGTGCACGCTCTTCCCTTCGCGGTCTCTTCCTAAGTTTCGTCTCGTGCCAACTCGAATCGTCGAGACGTTTTTGTAAACGGGGAAAAGTTGTCTTTAAACGGTGAATTGTACGATGGAACAGGATTTGTGCTCTTTTACGGGTGTGTTTATTGCACATTCGTATCTAATTTAACAAAATTTAGTGTTCGTTATTGAGAAAAAAAAAGTTATTCGTCACAGGAGACGACTCCACAGTTCCCCAGGTACGTGTCCAACATTGTCGTAATATTAAAGTGAATTGCGTATTATATCGTATATATATAAATAAACACACCTGCATTAAATTAGGGACGTAGATAGGGATGTGAAAGCCGAAGCTCCAGGGAATCTGACTTTAGGAGTGGTGGTGGTGGTGCTCCTAACAGCATGTAAACGAAGCCTTTTACTTCACTGATAATGCCACGAGGTCAACCCAGCGGTCCAAAGGCCATTAACCACCACAACGTCAACATAAAGGTTGACTGCACATTGTCATACATTATCCAAATAATCATTGTAAATGGGGGGTGGAGGACCAGGAAGGAGTTTGAGGTTGCAATTTGATGTTTTTAACCTTCTTCTTCTTGATAGGAGATGTAGTTTGCATGAAGGGTTCTTTTATTTTTTTTAACCTAAAATGCTCTTTTGTAGCCCAAGATTTGCTTGCCTCCACCTCATCCCCTTATGCAGCAGCAGACGAGGTGTTTGTGGTGTGTGTGTGTGTGTGTCAAGATAGGGGGTATATGAAGGTGTGCTTGTTTGGGAGAGGTGGCTGTGGAGGCCAAGAAGACAAGAGCAGAGTCAAGGTTGTTGTTATCGTCCTCGCCCGGTATGTGGGTTGCCGCACACGCAAAACTCCCTGCGGGCAAACATTGCGTGTGGATGTCGGTCTCTTTTCCCCCACGCCACACCCGAGAATATATGCACTCGACACCGCTTCACTCGCGACTAATAAAAGCAGTCAAGCACTCAAATTTCTTGTATTTCCTCCCAGTCACACATTTCCTACCATCCTGTGCCATCTTAACAAATCAATTTGGCCCCCCCATGTGCTAGGTAAGACCTGGGCCTAATGTGGTTTGAACAGCGCATCCCTCCTAACCAGGACAATTATTCCACAGATTGACTAGTCAATTCGAAAGCTTTAAATTTGTTTCAAGTCACTGCAGTTGCTAATTGGGGGGGGGGGGTTTAACGAGCGATCTGATGAGGCTTGGGGCGTAACACCCATTTTTTTCCCAGTAGTTTATGGCTATCGGATGTGTGTGTGTGTAAGCATGGTTTGTTGCGTAAGGACGTGGTTAGTTGTGAACAAGGTTAGTTGTTTTCGGAGTAGCCAGGCGTACGGTTACTGTACTGTGGAGGATGTGTATTTTTTTTTGGGGGGGGGGGATATATGTGTATATTTATGTACTTTCCTCGCCATGTTTGGCTGTGTGATTGCCACGATGTGAATGCTGGCACCACTGTCAGGTTGTGTGGACTATGCTGCTGGCACCAGATTACGTAGACTATGCTGCTGGCACCAGATTATGTTGACTATGCTGCTGGCACCAGATTATGTTGACTATGCTGCTGGCACCAGATTATGTAGACTATGCTGCTGGCACCAGATTACGTAGACTATGCTGCTGGCACCAGATTATGTTGACTATGCTGCTGGCACCAGATTATGTTGATTATGCTGCTGGCACCAGATTACGTAGACTATGCTGCTGGCACCAGATTATGTTGACTATGCTGCTGGCACCAGATTATGTTGACTATGCTGCTGGCACCAGATTATGTTGACTATGCTGCTGGCACCAGATTATGTTGACTATGCTGCTGGCACCAGATTATGTTGACTATGCTGCTGGCACCAGATTACGTAGACTATGCTGCTGGCACCAGATTATGTTGACTATGCTGCTGGCACCAGATTATGTTGACTATGCTGCTGGCACCAGATTACGTAGACTATGCTGCTGGCACCAGATTATGTTGACTATGCTGCTGGCACCAGATTATGTTGACTATGCTGCTGGCACCAGATTATGTTGACTATGCTGCTGGCACCAGATTACGTAGACTATGCTGCTGGCACCAGATTATGTTGACTATGCTGCTGGCACCAGATTATGTTGACTATGCTGCTGGCACCAGATTATGTTGACTATGCTGCTGGCACCAGATTATGTTGACTATGCTGCTGGCACCAGATTATGTTGACTATGCTGCTGGCACCAGATTACGTAGACTATGCTGCTGGCACCAGATTATGTTGACTATGCTGCTGGCACCAGATTACGTAGACTATGCTGCTGGCACCAGATTACGTAGACTATGCTGCTGGCACCAGATTACGTAGACTATGCTGCTGGCACCAGATTACGTAGATTATGCTGCTGGCACCAGATTACGTAGACTATGCTGCTGGCACCAGATTATATAGACTATGCTGCTGGCACCAGATTATATATCCTTGCACAATGGTCGTGGTTTGTAGACCTATAATTTAAGTTTTGCACTGGCTAGTAAAATTTACCTAGGTAAAAACCTATATTTTACCTATTGACCTAGGTAAAAATATATACCCAGCCAATATATATAAAATATTGTGTGTAAATCACGAAAATTAACATGTGATGATAAATGTGAGTGTTACGGGGGAAGAATGGAAACAGGAATTTCCTTAAGTACTTTCGTATTTCATAATACATCTTCAGAAGGGTATCTTCACCCTTCTGTAGATGTATTATTAAATACGGAAGTGCTTAAGGAAATTCCTGTTTTAATTCTTCCTCCGTGGTGGGACACGGTCACATTTTTGTATAGCTTCAAAGTATCTAAATTACAGGGTTGGCCTCGCCTCTTGCAGGTCTGCGTTCAATTCCGGACGGTCTAATTGGTCGGGCACCGTTCGTTCCATCCGTTCTGTCAGCTTCCTTGTCCTGATATCCCAGCTTCCTTGTCCTGATATCCTAGCTTCCTTGTCCTGATATCCCAGCTTTCTTGTCCTGATATCCCAGCTTTCTTGTCCTGATATCCCAGCTTCTTGTCCTGATATCCCAGCTTCTTGTCCTGATATCCCAGCTTCTTGTCCTGATATCCCAGCTTCCTTGTCCTGATATCCCAGCTTCCTTGTCCTGATATCCCAGCTTCCTTGTCCTGATATCCCAGCTTTCTTGTCCTGATATCCCAGCTTCCTTGGCCTGATATCCCAGCTTCCTTGGCCTGATATCCCAGCTTCCTTGTCCTGATATCCCAGCTTCCTTGTCCTGATATCCCAGCTTCCTTGTCCTGATATCCCAGCTTCCTTGTCCTGATATCCCAGCTTCTTGTCCTGATATCCCAGCTTCCTTGTCCTGATATCCCAGCTTCTTGTCCTGATATCCCAGCTTTCTTGTCCTGATATCCCAGCTTCTTGTCCTGATATCCCAGCTTCTTGTCCTGATATCCCAGCTTCTTGTCCTGATATCCCAGCTTCCTTGTCCTGATATCCCAGCTTTCTTGTCCTGATATCCCAGCTTCCTTGTCCTGATATCCCAGCTTCCTTGTCCTGATATCCCAGCTTCTTGTCCTGATATCCCAGCTTTCTTGTCCTGATATCCCAGCTTCTTGTCCTGATATCCCAGCTTCTTGTCCTGATATCCCAGCTTCTTGTCCTGATATCCCAGTTTCCTTGTCCTGATATCCCAGCTTTCTTGTCCTGATATCCCAGCTTCCTTGTCCTGATATCCCAGCTTCCTTGTCCTGATATCCCAGCTTCCTTGTCCTGATATCCCAGCTTTCTTGTCCTGATATTCATTAAAGTGTTTATTCGCCAGAAACTAAAATAAACTGTTGTCAAGACAGTCACTACGTTACGGCACAGAAGTGTGTTTTTGTCTTTGAAATCTTACTGAGGTTCTTCACCAAGTCTCGTATTGGAGAAAACTGTGTAGCAATCCAACTACGGGCTCACCATAGCCCGTGCTACTTGGAACTTTGTGTTCCAAGTAGCAAATCTTAAACAACAACAACAACAACAATCCAAATGAAATTTGACGACCCCATGAGGAAAGTTCAGTCCCCAAATGAGTCGAAGGATTGAAAAGGGGAATTACTCGTATCCTGTACGAGAATTTCCGAGGTACTATTTTTTTTTTTTTAGGTACTTTTTTATTTCCTATTCCTATTTTTTATTTATTTCCGAGGTACTAGAATTTCTATATGAGGTACTAGTACCTAGTCAACTGGTGGAATGCTCTGAAGAAGGTTGTTGATTTAGCCACCTCCATCCTCAATTTTTTAAGGCCAGATTCGACGAGGAATTTGATGAACGTCAACATAGTGAAGTTATAAGGAAATAGGTAGAAAACATCTTAGAAGAGAAGGTGGAAGAGGTTTACATATTAAATTTAGCTCATAAGCATAGAGGAAAAGCTTCAGGGGGGACCCACCTCCCACACCTGGTACTGACCAGGTATTGACCTGCAAGAGGTACGAAGTATTGACCCCGCACGAGGCTGCTGCCATTGATGTCCACCCAAGCTTAGAGTTGTGACAACTGAAGAGGTTGTCCCTGGTCACTATAATCAACCAGACTGCTAACGTGTGCAACATGCAGGTTTTCTAATGACAACGCTCCAAGTAGATATTTTTTTCGATAATACCTTTACAGATTGTATTACAAATCAACGTTGCAAGGAATGATGCAACAGCAGCCGAGGAGACGAACGCGCCATAAAGACACTGTCAGCGTCTTGAAGGTCACTACTTTGACCGCCTCCAGTCATATATTGTATACTATATATATTTTTTTTTATAATGTATCATATAATCTATATCTGTTCAGTATATTTCTGTGACGGCCTGTTTGTGCTTGTCGGCAGTAAGCCAGATACTTGCTGCTAGCCTCGCCCAACTTTCCAAGATGACACATGGGGAGGTATGTGGGTGTCATAGGTCGGGTGGGGTCGGCCCTAGTGCCAACATTTAAGAAATATCGGCACCTATCGCGATCCCTTGTGACTTTTATGTAGTCTAAAAGGCAGAAATGTGTTTTTCATAGAGTACCTGCACTTTTACCCGCACTTTACCTGTGCTTATATTGACAGTTTTTACACTTTTTCAGTGCTTTATAATATTTTCTGAGAGAGGGAGAAGGGAGAAAGGTGGAGAGGGGAAGAAGAAGGAACGAGACATAGAGGGTGATAGGGGAAGACAGTTGGATAGGGGAAGAGGTAGGGGAAGAGAGACC